TCAATACCTACTACTGCCCTCTGAATAGTGATCCACTCCTGTATAGACTGCTGCCCAAGTGAAGGAGCCCTAAATGAGGAGAGAAAAAGATCACTGTATGCAAAGATCACTATAATAAATGCAATCACTGCATTGACAGAACCCCAAATACCGCCTTTAATCATGGACAGGATAAAGATATGATCATAATTTACCATCCATTATTCTGACCAAGGGGACCAGTCTTTGATCCAGCCTTCACCATGCACAGGTTTGCCACTGGCAATGCATGGAAGTGTACAAGTCATTCCCATAAATTATTTTCAGGGCATTTTCCCAGGCCTCGAGTTCAATTGTCCCTTCAGTTTAGTATTTATATTTTAATAACATTTTATGGGATAATATTCTGCTGCCGTTTCACAAGTTCTGCTTCTTGCTTGAAATTCCCTATTGATCGCCTCCGCTCCGGGCGCCATTGTGGCATATATCTCGCCTTGTAGAGCTGACAGGACATCTATACCGCTGAGAGAAAAGAGAAAAAAAACAATCACCTCAACAGATCCGCTGTGAAATTAGGCCGGAGTGGACCTCATCTATCAAAGTGGAAGGATCGGTGTTACTCCGAGCAACCAGCTTCTCCCTTCCATTACCCTATAGGGGGGATTGTGATTGGTTGCTATAGATAACATACACAGGCCTTACCTTATCCATGACCAGGTAGCTCTGGGTCAGAGGCTTTATCCCTAGAAGGTTTTGGCCCTGGAATCCCAGTACTCATCGCCTACAATATACTACAAAACTTTGCTACTAGTTTTTTATTCTTTTTTTTTTCCATAATAAATATAAACATCAGATAAGAGAACAAGACACAGACAATCTCATTTTTTTTCTATGTGTGCATGCTATCATGTTAGATCCCCCCCCCCCCCCCCCCCCCCCAAAAAAAAAAAAATAAAATATATATATATATATATATATTATATATATACACACACGGGCTTAGTGGTTAGCATGTCTGCCGTGCAGTAAATGGGTCATTGGTTCAATTCCCAACCATGGCGCCTCATGCATGGAGTTTGCATGTTCTCCCTGTGCTTGCGTGGGTTTCCTCCGGGTACTCCGGTTTCCTCTCACACTCCAAAGACATGCTGGTAGGATAATTGGCTTCTGTCTAAATTGTCCTAGTTTCATCCCTGGCCATGCGGGATCTCCTACCCTGTAAAATAAGTGCTAAGAGAATTCATAGAAAAAGTCGCTTGCAAGTGACGGTCCATGCAATCGCATGCAATGTATGTATGTATGTATATATATATATATATATATATATAAGCATGATGCCCAATGTTGGGGATACATTTATAAACATACCATGTATCAAAAATTCACAACGGGGATATCGCGGGTTTGCGCAAGCACAACAAGTTATCAACACATTGTTTGTAATATAAATATCTCTTATGATTGTCAGCACTAGTGGCCATATTTTTTTTTTTATTAACCACTTGCCCTCCAGAGGATTTACCCCCCTTCCTGGCCAGGCCATTTTTTGCGATACGACGCTACATTACTATAACTGACAATTGCGTGGTCGTGCAGCGCTGCACTCAAATTAAATTTATGTCCTTTTCTTCCACAAATAGAGCTTTCTTTCAGTGGTATTTGATCGCCTGTGCATTTTTTAATTTTTGCGCTATAAAAAAAAAAAGACCGCCAATTTTGAGAAAAAATAAAATATTTTACTTTTTGCTATTAAACATGTCCAGTAAAAACAGTTAAAAATCAAATTTTGTCATAAATTTAGGCCAAAATATATTCTGCTATGTCTTTGCTAGAGAAAATCTCAATACGTGTAAATTAATTGGTTTACGTGAAAGTTATAGCATCTACAAATGGCGGTATACTGGAATTAAAAAAAAAAAAATTATACTAGTAATGGCAGCAATCAGCGACTTATAGCAGGACTGCAGCAAGGCATTCTGACACTGGGGGGGAACTGACTTGGTGTCACTGACATACCCAGTGACACCAATACAGTGATCAGTGCAAATAAAAAGCACTGATGATGTACTAATGGCACTGGGGAGGAAGGGGTTAACATGAGGGGCGATCAAAGGGTTAACTGTGTGCTGTGTGTGTGTTTTACACTGTAAGGACACTGCTTTGTATGGCTCTGTTATGCAGATAACCCAGAGGGAAGAAAAACCTGAAAGGCACACACAGGGTTCAAAGATCGGCCCTGGAAGGCACACACAGGGTTCAAAGATCGGCCCTGGAAGGCACACACAGGGTTCACAGATCGGCCCTGGAAGGCACACACAGGGTTCACAGATCGGCCCTGGAAGGCACACACAGGGTTCACAGATCGGCCCTGGAAGGCACACACAGGGTTCAAAGATCAGCCCTGGAAGGCACACAAAGGGTTCACAGATCGGCCCTGGAAGGCACACACAGGGTTCAGGAACATGAGGAGGGGAACATGAAGGAAGTACCACCCACCTACAACCCTACCCTTACCAGGTAGTACTAGGAGTGGTGTATCTGACCATGGGGCACCAAGTACAAAAATACTGCAAAAAAGCATGGAAGTACACGGGGCACAGTGGGTACAAGCCTAAAAGATCCCAGAGACTGTCCTAGCCACCTTTTGAAAGAGTGTATTTTAGTTTGTTACTCAGGCTTTACTTTGACAAAGGGGTCCCCTGAGTTGTTCTTCTGTGTTTCTAAGTTAGTTAACCCCCCCCCCCCCCAATTGGTAGTTAACTTTTACTGCCATGACAACTAACGGGTGGCGGGAGGGGGCATTCATTTTCCACTGCCACCAGCGTTTGTGTGTGTGTGTGGTTAACTAACTTTCACTGCCATGACCACCAGTGTGGGGGTTTAACTAACTTTCACTGCCATGACCACCAGTGTGGGGGGTTAACTAACTTTCACTGCCATGACCACCAATGGGGGAGGGAGGAATGGGGGGTTAATTTTCACTGCCATAACCACCAGTGTGGGATGTTAACTAACTTTAGGAGTTAGTGCAGTTTAATGCAGTTCCTGCCCCAGAAGAGTCAACCTTGTCGTGGTAGGCGGGCTTGTAATCTTTTGTCCAAAAATGTGTCACTGAATAGAAGAATAATTTCAAATTTTTGGCCATTTGATTAAACTAAAGGATTCTTTTGTTTATTCAGAGAATACTGTATAGTAAAATAGCTGTGATTGGAACAAAATTATATACAAATATTCACATAAACATTGAATAACCATAGAGTCAACATAATAGCTAGAGATGAGCCGAACATAACGGGATTCAATTAATGGGATGTTCATTGAACAGATCATCAATTGTGAATGTAGTAGTTAGAGGCTTGCTAGAAGCCTGGGTGGGTGTGTGTAAGAGGGTTACTTCAGGTCAGACTGTAGGGATCTACAGGTCAGCCCTTTGGTAACTCCCTCTGCTTTAGAAGCTTGGAGAAGCTTCTGGAAGTCAGTAGGCGTAGGTGAAGATGAGCTGATCTGCATATTTATGGGAGTCTAACCAATCCCAGGCAGGAGGCCTGGCAGTGTGGCAGGCTGGCCCATAAATATGACAGAGCCTGGCCAGCAGGGGAGTCGGATGGAAGATGGATGGTTGAGGTGCTGCTGTGTAGCCTGGGAGGGGGGTTCTGGGATTCTAGGCTGAAGGAAGGAGGAAAGCTGAAAGAGGGAGCTCCACTGCCCTGTAGTCCACCGGGGAAGGACAGCCTTCAAAGCCTGGAAAAGAACCAGCCCAGCGGAAGGGCTGAAAGCAGTTCTATCTACAGTATAGTTGGAGGACAAGGACAGTGGGAGTACCTCTACACCCCCAGGGCCTATAAGGGAGAAGTCAGCTAAATGCAAGTTCTTGACAAGTCTTCAGGGCACAGTCTGATGTTTACCCAATCCCTTGTCCTGGGATTAGATGCCGTAGCCAGGTGGGCTCTTATTTTGTTTACTAAGGGGACCAAGAGCTCCTACAAGTTGTCACTTTGCTGAAAACCCACCCAGGGGACACCAAATTCCTAGGAGGGGATTACTTTCCTAAAGTTGTGGTTCTGGTTGGAATTTAGTCAAATATGTATCATTTTGCGGTGTGCTAGAGAAGGAAACTATCTTCCTTTTGTTATTCTTCAATCAATTTGGCATCCCATAACCCTTTACCCTATCCAAGGTGAATTCCCTAATAAATCCTAAAAGCCAAACCCATGGACTGTTTCTTTTGTATGGAAAATGCATGTTGCCTGGCTGTACAGGAAAAAAGGGGGACCCAAAACCAGCTGCTCTCAACTCAGGGGGTAGCACTACAGGAATGTTAATGTGAACCCCATTGAAGTCAATGGCAGCGAACTCTTTAAAATCAGTCCTGATCATCTGAAGGTTGATAGTCAAAGGATTATCAAACAAATGGACTGCCAGTGGGGAACTGCACTAATGAAATGAAAAAATTATTTGAGGATCCCCCCAAAATTCATCCCAGACTCTTTGGCTTTGGTATAGGTTTTAATGGCGTACCCCACACAAAAAATTATGTGAGGTCCCCAAAATGTGATGCATGCATATTTACAGTTTGACATGTTTGGTATCTATTCAATACGCAACCTTTCCTTTTATATTTTACAATAAAAAAAAAAACTGAAACAATGCGTTCGATAGTTTTTTTTTTCTTGAGAGAGTGCATGTGATCAGCACAGGGCCAATCAACACAGGGTTTATGCAGCCTCATAGGACAGTCAGAGGAGAATGAAAACTCCTCCTACAAACTTTAACCAGTGCTCTGCTGGACATTGATAGAAGTCACATGACTGCTCTAACTGCAGATGAGAAAAGGTATTTAGCAGTTTATATTTACTAAAATAATTACATTTCCATGTTCTGTGTACTGTGGGAGACCAGATATAGTGAATGCAGGGTCCAGGGTTTAGTAACAACTTAACCACCTCCCGCCCGCCATATAGTAGAATGACGGGCGCAAGGTGGTTCTCTCGTTCTGGGAGGACGTCATATGACATTCTCACTGCGCATGCGCAGCAGCTCAGGCAGCGCACAGCATGGCGATCGACGGTGTGCTGTGTCCCTCAGACACAGCGGATCACCGATCACGGAATGTGATCAGCTGTGTCCAATCACAGCTGATCTCATGTAAACAGGGAAATGCCGGTTATCGGCATTTCTCTCCTCTTGAGCTGTCACGCTGACAGCTCGTGAGGAGAGGAGAGCCGGTAATCGGCTTTCCGCGGAGGGGACATGTACACTGATCATCAGGGCACTGATGATCAGTGTGCCCTGATGATCAGTATAGCCCCAGCAGTGCCACCTGTCAGTGTCCATCAGTGCCTTATGTCAGTGCTTCGTGCCAGTGCCCATCAGTGCCACATATCAGTGCCTACCAGTGCACATCAATGCCACATATCAGTGCCCATCTGAGCTGCCTTTCAGTGTCACCCATCAGTGCCAGTCAGTGCCACCTGTCAATGCCAATCAGTGCCACCTATCAGTGCCAGCCAGTGCCGCCTATCAGGGCCAGTCAGTGCTGCCTATCAGTGCGCATCAGTGCCGCCTATCAGTGCCTGGCAGTGCCGCCTAACAGTGCCAGTCAGTGCCGCTAACAGTGCCAGTCAGTGCCGCTTAACAGTGCCAGTCAGTGCTGCCTATCAGTGCCATATATCAGTGCCATGTATCAGTGCTGCCTTTCAGTGCCCATCAGTGATGCCTGTCAATGCCCATCAGTGCCACCTACCAGTGCCTCCTCATCAGTGCCCATCAGTGCCACCTATCAGTGTCCATCAGTGCAGCCTATCAGTGCCCATCAGTGCAGCCTCATTAGCGCATATCAGTGAAGGAGAAAAATCACTTATTTACAAAATTTTATAACAAAAACTAAGAAAAACTTTTTTTTTTCAAAATTTTCAGTGGTTTTTGGTTTGTTTAAGAAAAAATAAAAATCCCAGAGGTGATTAAATACTACCAAAATAAAGCTCTATCTGTCAAAAAAATTGACCGCGCAATTGTCATTCAAAGTGCAACAGCACTGAAAGCTGGAAATTGGCCTGGGCAGGAAGGGGGTATAAGTGCCCTGTAGGCTAGTGGTTAAGCAAGACAAGTCATGCTTGCTAGAGAGTTCATTCAAGCACATGGCAGAACCACTGGCTATCACTGGGAGTGAGGTGATAGGAAGGCTAGACTGGTGGAACGGGACATATGCTCAGTGGCGTCTCCTTCAAAATGTCACATTCCATACGATTGCATATCATTGGGACAGGTTGCTAATTTCTTAAAGGTCTCAGGTTGTGAAACAGATGCACCGTGTGTAAAGCTCTCTTCTAATTCGGGGAGCTGCCTTAATGTTGAATCAACATGTACACGGCCCTGCCTGGTCCCGGGCATTCGTGAGCACATACATCGGAGAGGAAGGAAGAGAGAAAAAAAAGGCCCCATGCGCACGGGCAAGGTGGCCCCACAACATCAAAGCCAGCAAAGGAGAAATCTCCTATAGCTGGATGAACATTCTTCTGGGAAGCCTAAATGGACCACTAGCTGGGGCTACAAAAGTAATTTGAGGACTATTTTACAGATTTTAATTTAAAATAATATTTTAGTATAGAATATCCATTGAAAGTTAGTGAACAGTGTTGAGTTAACCAAGCAATACCTTACTATTCAGTATATGGCTTGAAGTAATCCAGCTCAGGTGGTTGGATGTGACTCTTCCCCTTCCAAAAGTATTTTAATAAGCCGAAAAGTGGCACAGCCTTTCACTGGAAGTTCAGAGTACTGCTGTTTCTCCTTCCCCCAGCTCTCTATGCAGTTGTGAACAGAGGGAATGTGATCACAAAAAGGGAAAAAAAGTATTTATAATTTTTTTTTATTTGTATGTAGCACTACCCCTTAGGAGTTCCTGAGTTTTTGGGTCCCCCTATAGTCCTGCACAGCCAGGTAACATGCATTTTCTTCACACTTGTACACTGGAATCAGTAAACAGTCCTTGTTTTTTTTTTGTTTTATTAAGGGGTATTGAACTTGGATAGGGTTTGAAAGGCGTACGGGATGCACAAGGAAACCGCAAACACAAGGACAAACTCCTTAGCAACTATGAACAAGTCCACAGACAAAAGTCTCTCTCATGGGTCACTCATAGGAGCTCAGTGAATTCAGGTGTGGTACCGTGATGGTTGCTACCTGTGCAATAAGTCCATCTGTGAAATTTCCTTGCTACTAAATATTCCACGGTCAACTGTTAGTGGTATTATAACAAAGTGGAAGCCACTGGGAACAACAGAAACTCGGCCACAAAGTGGTAGGCCAAGTAAAGTGACAGAGCGGGGTCAGCATATGCTGAAGCTCACAATGCGCAGAAGTAGCCAACTGTCTGCAGGGTCAATAGCTAAAGACCTCCAAACTTCATGTGGCCTTCAGATTAGCACAACAACAGGGCGCAGAGATCTTCATGGAATGGGTTTTCATGACCGAGCAGCTGCATCCAAGCCTTGCATCACCAAGTGCAATGCAAAGCGTCAGATGCAGTGGGTTAAGCATGCTGCCACTGGACTCTAGAGCAGTGGAGACGTGTTTTCTGGAGTAACGAATCACACTTTTCTGTCTAGCAATCCGATAGATAGTGTCTGGGTTTGGCGGTTTCCAGGAGAATGGTACTTGCCTGACTGCATTGTGCCAAGTGTAAAGTTTGGTGGAGGGGGGGATTATGGTGTGGGGGTGTTTTTCAGGAGTTGGGCTTGGCCTTTAGTTCCAGTGAAAAGAACTCTTAAGGTGTCAGCATACCAAGACATTTTGGACAATTTCATTCTCCAAACGTTGTGGGAGCAGTTTGGGGATAGGCCCTTCCTGTTCCAACATGACTGCGCACAAAGCAAGGTCCATAAAGCCATGGATGAGCAAGTTTGGGGTGGAGGAATTTGACTAACCTGAACAGAGTCCTGACCTCAACTTGATAGAACTCCTTTGGATGAATTACAGCGCAGTCTTTGAACCAGGCCTCTTCGTCCAACATCAGTGCCTGACCTCACAAACGTGCTTCTGGAAGAATGGTCAAACATTCCCATAGACACACTCCTAAACCTTGTGGATGGCGTTCCCAAAAGAGTTGAAGCTGTTATAGCTGCAAAGGGTGGGCCAACCAACATTGAACCCTATGGACTAAGGATGCCATTAAAGTTCATGGGCGTGTAAAGGCAGGCGTCCCAATACTTTTGGCAATTTAGCATCTATAGCCAGTCTGTAAATTTAGTAATATCTAACCTTCAAGAGTCAATTTATTTTGTCTTTACTCTGTCGATCATCTTTTTATTGCTACAATGGTACTATATATAATTTTCAGACTACCTATGTCAATGCCAAGTCATGTCTTTGTGTTTCTTTTAAACAGTATGTCTGTCTATGTTTTTCTGTGTCAATGCCAGTTTCTGTGCTGTGAACTAGTTGCAATCAAACTGGCCATCAATTTCAAATTGTATTTGTTTGTGTCAGTGCCAGTTTGCCGTTTCATCCATTCCAGAATTTCCATCGATGATCTCAATATGTGTCTATGACTTTGTAATGTTCTGGTTCAATGACAGGTGGTCTGTCCTTCGATGCCAATGTGTTAAATATCTCTCTGTATCTATCAGTTTAGAAGGTTTGTATTTCTATGACTTGTCTGTCCTAAAGTCAGTTACTGAATCCTTCAAAACTAATCCTAACAATATATTTGGACATCTGTCTCTCTTTCGATGACAATGACAATCTCTTTGGCTCTCAAAGACAATTCATCAGTTAGTCACGGCCAGTCATTCTATGTCCACCAATGACTGTGGCAATGCCAGGCAATCTGTTGTTCTATGTATGTTCGTATATGTTTGCTCATTGGTCTGTGTTGATGATACAGTAAGTCAATGGCAGTCAGTCTGTCTCTCTATACCCATATGGGCCAGTGCCAATCCAAGCATGTGGATGAATTGAATCAAAAAGGAAAGGCAGGGGAGTAAAATGAAGAGAACAGAACATTATTTAAAGAAAAAGAAGCAGAATCCAGTGGAGATATGGACTACTGTATAGAAAGTCAGGATGGAATTTTTAGACCCTCTGAGCTAAAATTATCTAAAATGTCTCGAAATTTTTTTGCCTTTCTCTGGATCCAGGGATCAGTGATTCCAGATACAGACTTCACTGAATTCTAGGCATTGGTGAATTAGCTATAATAGCTGGGGATCCATATTTGCGGTTCCTCAAAGCAATGCTATTGAGAACCACTGTCATTTTAAATATATTTGCAAAAATGGCTCTTTAGCTTACTGCAATAAATAAATACATATGCTAGGAAATGATCATTTATTATTTTGAGTGGTTGATTGCAGTCAGGTAACTAGCTAACCTGTCACCTAGACAGGAAATAAAGGAAAATTTCCCTAATGAGGACATAGAGAGCAATATTTTTTTTTTTTCATTTTACTAGTAAATGCATTTTTATTGTTGTCTATGTCCTTATTGGAGACAATTTCACTCACTTCTACCTTATACCTGTCAAATAGAAAAGGTCCAAATAGAGAAACAACTGTACAAAGTTGACAGAGGTTCTAACTCTTCTACATTCTAAAACAGTTTTGGGTTTTGGCTGTAGGTTGGCAGTAAACTGTATGTCCAGCCATTTTAAAATTGGGAAGGTTTTAAGTGTTATGCAGGGCTCCAATAGAGTGGGTAGTCCTCATGTATTGTCCTTTGTGACAATGGTTTATCCATACAGTAGATGAGAAAAAAAATCTGCAACAGCACAAACACTAATAGAAATGTTCTTTGTAGAGTAGTGAAGGCTATAACCTCATTCAGTACCCTCCAGCAAAAATCATTAGTAATCTTCTAAAGGCCCTCATCTCAGGCCCAAATCACAATTCTTGTCTCAATATAGTTGCCTTAAAAATTTCCACTGCTATCATTTTATTCTACAGGGCCCCTGCTTTAAGAAAATATGGAATGTTCTAGGGCAGTGGTTCTCAACCTGTGGGTCGCGACCCCTTTGGGGTCGAAAATATAAATCGACCCTTTCACAGGGGTCCCCTAAGACCATCATAAAACACATATTTCCGATGTGTAAAGAGCAGCTACTGTGTAGAAAGCAGCTGCTGTGTGACTGAAAGCAGCTACTCTGTCAAAAGCAGCTACTGTGTTGCAAGCAGCAGTATTGGAGGTAAAACGACACTCATGAATTATAATTACTGGGTAAATAATTTTATGGTTGGGGGCACCACAACATGAGGAACTGTAAAAAGGGTCACGGCATTAGGAAGGTTTTAGAACCACTGTTTCTAGGGGTTATGTAATTACATGATTTTTACATGTGTGCAAAAAAATTAAAAAAATTGCTCTAACACCAAACTGGTTAAACTAATTGTATTATTGGATATAACTAGAAAAAATAACTCCAACTGCCTCTGAATTCCCTTTAAATGAAAAAGTATATTTTAATTTACCATGACACAGCTGAGAAGAAGTCTATGTAGTCTTCCCAGCCAGCATTTTGTATTATAATCTTAGTCTCTCTGGCTCATCAGTAAGTTTTCCCCTGGAAGCTATATTGAAATGTTGGCTCCTAGGCTGGTGTTAC